GGCACTGGGGGGAGCTTGGGGGGCTGCTGGGGGGGCTCAGTGAGGGGAGCCAGTGCTTTGAGGGGCTGCTGATGTGGGGACTCGATATAGGGACACGAGGTCCTCAGGGAGGTGCTGGATGGGGGGGCTCAATGTAGGGGTGCTGATTCTTGAGTGGGCTGTTGGGGGGGTTCGAAAGGGGGGTGCTGGTCCTTGTGGTGCTGCTGCTGGGGGGGCTCAGTGTGGGGATGCTGGTCTTTGGGGGGTGTCACTGCCGGGAGCTGTCCCCGTGTGAGTGCTGTGTCCTGGTGGGAGGGTGTCACTGCCAGGGGGTGTCACCCTGTGGGTGCTGGGGGGCGGTCTCAGTGACGGAAGATATCCCCGTGTGGGTGCTGAGTCCCTGAGGGTGTTCCCGTGTGGGTTCTGGGGTGTCACTGTCGGGTGTCCCCTTGTGGGTTCTAGGCTGTCACTGTCCGCGGATGTCCCCGTGTGGGTCCTGAGGGTGTCCCCGTGGAGGTTCTGGATTGTCACTGTCCAGGGGTGTCCCCGTGTGGATTCTGGGGGTGTTCCCGTGGGGGTTCTGGAGGTGTCACTGTCCGGGGGCGTCCCCGTGTGGGTCCGGGGGTGTCAGTAACACGGGGTGTCCCCGTGTGGGTCCGGGGGTGTCAGTAACACGGGATGTCCCCGTGTGGGTCCGGGGGTGTCAGTAACACGGGATGTCCCCGTGGGGGTCCGGGGGTGTCAGTAACACGGGGTGTCCCCGTGTGGGTCCGGGGGTGTCAGTAACACGAGGTGTCCCCGTGGGGGTGCTCAGTCCCTGAGGGGGTCTCACCGTCCCCTCCGGGCCCGGCGGGCGGGGACGAGTCCCCCGTGAGGACCGTTTCTCCCTCACGGGGGAGAAACGTCCCCGTCTCCCTCTGCCCCATCCCCGCCGTACCCGGGCGGTCCCTGTTCCATCCCCGCCGTTCCTGGCCCCATCCCCGCCGTTCCCGACCCCATCCCGGCGGTTCCTGGCCCGGTCCGGGCGCAGGGCGGTGCCGGAGGAGGCGGCCCCGGGTCCCCTCCCCGCTCCGCCGCTTCCGCCGCCGCCGCCGCCCTGGGCCGGGCGGGCCCGGCGGGGCCGAACGGGCGGCGGGGCCGCCATGAAGCCGAGCGGGGGTGAGCGGGGCCGGCGGGGGCCGGGGGGCGAAGGGGGGTGCTGGGGGTGACGGGGGTCTCGGGGTAACGGGGGCTTTGGGCTGTTGGGGCTGCCGGGGGGTCGCGGCTCTCGGGCTGACGGTGCCGCCGCGCAGAGGAGCCGGTGCTGCTGGCGGAGCTGAAGCCGGGCCGGCCCCAGCGCTACGACTGGAAATCCAGCTGCGAGACCTGGAGCGTCGCCTTCTCCCCCGACGGGGCCTGGTTCGCCTGGTCCCAGGGACACTGCGTGGTCAAGCTGATCCCCTGGCCCCTGGGGGAGGCCGAGCTGTGAGTGCGGAGTGCGGGGGCCACGGGGCCATGGAATGGTTTGGGTGGGAAGGGACCTTAAAGCTCAGCCAGTGTCACCCCCTGCCATGGGCAGGGACACCTTCCGCCAGCCCAGGTTGCTCCAAGCCCCGTCCAACCTGGCCTTGGACACTTCCAGGGATCCTGGAGCAGCCACAGCTTCTCTGGCTAACCTGTGCCAGGGCCTCCCCACCCTCACAGCCAGGAATTCCTTCCCAATAGCCCATCTATCCCTGGCCTCTGGCAGTGGGAAGCCATTCCCTGTGTCCTGTCCCTCCATGCCTTGTCCCCAGTCCCTCTCCAGCTCTCCTGGAGCCCCTTTAGGCCCTGCAAGGGGCTCTCAGGTCTCCCTGGAGCCTTCTCTTCTCCAGGTGAACCCCCCTAGCTGTCCCAGCCTGGCTCCAGAGCAGAGGGGCTCCAGCCCTGGCAGCATCTCCGTGGCCTCCTCTGGACTCTCTGCAGCAGCTCCATGGCCTTTTGATGTTGTGACCACCGAGCTGGAGTCAGCTCTGCGGGGGGATTTCACCTGAGGAGGCAGAGGGGCAGAATCTCCCCAGCCTTGATTGATACCAGGGTTGCCCGGTTTGAGGTGGAGAGGGGGGTCTGTTCGGGGGGTCTCGGGGTGAACACCCATCCCTGCTTCCCCCCAGGAGCTGCAAAACCTCGGAGCGCAAGAGCCGGGGAGGAAAAGCCGAGCCCAGGACCCGTGGGGGGGCCAAGGAGAAGACCCTGGAGTGTGGGCAGATCGTGTGGGGCCTGGCCTTCAGTGCCTGGCCGGCGGCTGAGGAGGGAGACACGGATCCCACCTGTGCCCTGGGGCTTCCCTGCCTGGTCCTGGCCACTGGACTCAACGACGGGCAGATCAAGGTCTGGGAGGTGCAGACAGGTGAGGGGGCCTTGCTGTCGTGGCTTCAGGCTGCTGTCCCTCTTCAGGCTGCTGTCCCTCTTCAGGCTGCTGTCTCCCATGGAAGGAGATCCCATCTCCATCTTTCCACAGTACCTCCTCTGCCCTGTTCCTGGGCATGAGGGGCACTGCTGCGGAGGGACGGCGCTGAGGATGGCTGTTATTCTCAGGGCACCTCCTCTTCAGCCTCTTGGGGCACCAGGATGTCGTCAGAGACCTGAGCTTTGCTCCCAATGGAAGTCCCATCCTTGTGTCGGCCTCACGGGACAAGACCTTGCGTGTGTGGGACCTGAGCAGAGACGGTAGGAGCCTGCAGGGTGTGCAGGGACAGCCCTGGCTCAGGAAAGGGGGGGGAATCCACCTTGATGTTGGAGAGGACCTTTGGGGACACTGCTTGAGACAGAAAGGGACAGCCCTGTGACAGGGAGCAGAACTATCCCCTTCCAGGTGGGGCCTGGGAGGTGCAAGAGAGGGTTGCAATTAGGCAGAGCTCGGGAGCCCCCAGGGAACCCCCAACTCAAGCTGGTCAGAGCACAGTGCCAATAATGCCGAGGCTGGAGGTTTGATCCCTGCAGGGACCATTCACTGACAAGCTGGACTCGATGATCCCTGTGGGTCCCTTCCAGTCAGAATATTCTGTGACTGTGCGAGTTGCTGCTGGGAGCTGGCTGTCCTGCTGCCCTCAGGTGACACATGTGCTGTCCCCAGGGCGGCAGGTGCAGGTGCTGGCTGGCCACGTGCAGTGGGTGTACTGCTGTTCCATCTCCCCGGACTGCAGCATGCTCTGCTCCGCCGCTGGAGAGAAGTCGGTGAGTCCCCTGCAACGGGAGCCATCCCTGTGTCCCGCTGAATCCATCCTCCATGTCCCCCGGCACGAGGAACCTCCCGGGGACAAGGGGCCTTGCTGCTCAGCCATCTAGGCCCCGCGTGGAGCTGGGAGGTGCTCCCAGCCTGATCCCCGTCCCTGTCCCTGTCCCACAGGCGCTGCTGTGGAGCATGAGGTCCTACACCCTGATCCGGAGGCTGGAGGGGCACCAGAGCAGCGTGGTGTCCTGCGACTTCTCTCCGGACTCGGCGCTGCTCGTCACCGCGTCCTACGACGCCTGCGTCATCATGTGGGACCCCTACACCGGGGAGCAGCTCCGGACCCTGCGGTGCGGGGAGGGGGACGCTGTGGGAGGGGGCACAGCAGCGCCATGGGGGGCTTTTAGGGCCCTCCTAGCTGGGCACGGCCACCGTCTCTGTGTTGTGGCACAGAGAGGGGGACACACTGTCAGAGGAGGCAGAGCAGTGCTGCCACAATGGTGATTTTTAGGGATGGATGTGGCTTTCCCTCCTACCTGGGCACAGCAACCACCTCTGCACTGTGGAATGGAGCCAGGGGACACCATGGGATGGCACAGAGCAGTGCTGTGAGGATTTTTAGGATGAATGTGGCCTTCCCTCTTAGCTGGGCATGGCCACCATCTCTACACTGTGGTATAGAGAGGGGACACACCGTGGGAGGGGACAGAGGAATGCCATGGAGGATTTTAGGGCTGGATGTTGTGTAGGTTTTTAGGGCTGGATGTGGCTTTCCCTCCTCGCTGGGCACCACCACCCCCTCTCCCCTGAGCCCAGGGGCAGGATGGGGGGCTGGCTTGGCAAGCACTGGGGAAGGGGCTCCTGGCAGCCCAGGGCTGACCCTGGGATGTTCTCCCCCCACAGCCACGTGCCCCTGCACTCCACGCTGGATTACAGCAGTGACATCCACAGCAGCTCCCTGCGCTCCGTCTGCTTCTCCCCAGAGGGTCTCTACCTGGCCACAGTGGCAGATGACAGGTGAGTGAACCCC